AATTCCCATTTTCCTGAGGAACCGCCATACTGATCTCCAAAATGGCTGTATGAGTTTGCACTCCAACCAGCAATGGAGGAGTGTTCCCCTTTCTCCACATCCTCTCCAGCATGAATTGTCATTGGTGTTTCTAATTTTAGCCATTTTCTTAAGTGTCTTTCAGCCTTTTTGATTTCCTCTGTTGAGAATTCTTTTTTTCAGTTCTGTACCCCATTTTTTAATAGGGTTATTTGGTGTTTTGTTGACTAGTTTCTTGAGTTCTTTGTATATTTTGGAGATCAGCCCTTTGTCAGATATAGGATAGGTGAACATCTTTTCCCAGTCTGCACGCTGCCATTTGGTCTTGACCTCTGTGTCCTTTGCATTACAGAAGCTTCTAAGCTTGAAGAGGTCCCATTTACTAATTGTTTCTCTCAAAGCCTGTGCCCCTGGAGTTATGTTCAGGAAGCAGTCTCCTATACCAATTTGTTCAAGGGTACCTCCTACTTTCTCTTCTAAGAGGTTCAATGTGGCTGGATTGATGTTGAGGTCTTTGATTCATTAGGACTTGAGTTTTCTGCATAGCGACAGATGTGGGTCTATCTGCAGTCTTCTACACACCCTTAGTCAATTGTCCCAGCACCATTTGTTGAAGATGCTGTCCTTGTCCCATTGTATAATTTTAGCTGTTTTGTCGAAAATCAGGTGTTCATAAGTGTGTGGGTTAATATCAGGATTTTTAATTCGATTCCATTGTTCTACCTGTCTATTTTTATGCCAATACCAGGCTGTTTTTAGAACTATAGCTCTGTAGTAGAGCTTAAAGTCAGGAATGGTGATGCCTCCTGAAGTTCTTTTATTGTATAGGGTTGTTTTGGCTATCCTGGGTCTTTTGTTTTTCCATAAAAGTTGATTATTATCCTTTCAAGGTCGGTGAAGAATTGTGGTGGGATTTTAATGGGGATTGCATTAAATCTGTAGATTGCTTTTGGCAAGATTGCCATTTTTACTATGTTTATCCTACCTATACAAGAGCATGGGAGATCTTTCCATTTTCTGGTATCTTCTTTAATTTCTTTATTTAGAGCCACAAAGTTCTTATTATATAGGTCTTTTACTTGGTAAGCATTATCCCAAGATACTTTATGTTGCTTGTGGCTATTGTAAAGGGTGATGTTTCTCTGATTTCTTTCTCTTCCTCTTTGTCATCTGAAAAAAGTAGAGCTACTGATTTTTTTGAGTTTATCTTGTATTCTGCTAGTTTTCTGAAGGTGTTTATCAGCTGTAGGAGTTCCCTGGTAGAGTTTATTAGGTTGCTTATGTAAACTATCATATCATATGCATATTTTCTAGTATAACTAAAATATTCATTTTCTTTAAAGATATACCATTATTTTAGATCAAAAACTTTAAATTTTCTCAAATTTGACAACATTTGCAGTGGAAAATATAGAAATATCATGTAATGGTACCTCAATCTGATATACCTTAGGCTGTCTCCCAAATTATTAAAATACTTCAAAGCATTTTAAAGAATTTTTGATACTTTAATGTATATTAGGTATTTAAAATTATATGCTCTCTTAGGAAATGGTGTTAATTTATCATGTAGAAAATTAATTTTCTGTGTTATATTTTTATTCCTTACTCTCTTCTGTAATGATGTCTTGATTATACTGTTCAATAAATAATACAATTTTGCACGTAGTATAGACAAATGTTTAATCCCAGTTGATTAAAAAAATCATAAAGCAATATAGCAAGTATTGAGTCATATAATGAATTATGCGTAATTATGTTTTCACACAAAGTTTGGAAATTATTATAAAGATACCTTAACAGGGTGGCATATACTGAAGATTCAGGAACATGAATACCTACATATGTCCTGGTTCCTAGTCTATAGCAAATATTAAAAAAAAAATCTCAGTATCTTCCCTTTCAGTTTGTTTTCTTTAAAATGAAATGATATCATCATTGCTGTCATGGAGTTATTATAAGAAGTAAATAATTAAAGGACTTAGAGCAGAGCCAAAAACCATAGTAAGGGCTTGGGAAAAAATCAGCTAGAATTATCATTTAGTTAATGGAATTTAACTAGGTGTCTATACTGTGTCTTTAGAATAAAATCAACTGAATATCATCCTTATCTACAAATTATATAATAATTAAAATCACAGTATGATGTCTATAGAATTAATTTACTGTGCTTACATGATTCTTTTGACTATCATTCTATCTACCCAGAATTCTCAGACTATTCTCTCCTTTGCAAGGGAACAAGATTTTCTCCTCTAAATATTTAGCCTCTTAATATTTTGTATGCATTTTGGAACTATGGATATGTTAGTACCACACTGTAACCCAGAAGAGGCACTTATATATCTCAGAAGTTTTTAATACTTTCTTTATTTTGATTGAGGTACCATGGCTTCGAATAGAGCCTTGATTGATTCCATTCACTGCAGTATTTATTTTACATTCAAAACTATCTGCCTGGCAGTGCTGATTCTTTCATTACAGAGTTGACTCTCTTGCCATATAAATTTTCAATATGTAGTGTTCATTAATATTTGTGTGTTCAGATTTAATATATGTGAACTACTTTCCAATATGAAACATGGTTAAAAATAGTTAAAGGTAGTTGGGGGACAGGAAAAAAAAACCAAAGTAAATATGGCTAGAACAAGAATACACAGTAGAAAAGATGATATTAGGCTATGGCTACTCCTCATTCTAAGTCATGGAAGTCCCATCAATAGAATAGACTCTTCAGATTTGTGTTTTCTAAAATATGAAATTGGAAAGCCAGGGAAGGGAATTGTTCATTGATAGAATGCTATATACAGATCTGTCATACACGTAGTCATCTATTTGCCCATAAAGAATAAATTGTGAATTATATATATATATATATATATATATATATATGTGTGTGTGTGTGTGTGTGTGTGTGTGTGTGTGTGTGTACAATATATATAAACTTACCCTAATTACAGCAGCTGAGAGTAATCACAATTATATCTAACTCTGGACATACTTACAGGATAATATCTGATTCCTATCTGTTTTAACTAATGTTTCATAAAACAGAACATTTATTGTTTCTTTCAAATAATCTTCTGTTATTCAATGCAACACAGAAAACTTGGGAACATACATTTCAAAAAATTGAAAATAACAGAACAGATTTACACTCTGGCTATTTTCAACTGTTCACCAATTTTAGCTTTGAGACTTGAAAAATGTATTCTACTTTAAGACAACTTATAACTGCAAATGTGTCCTACTATAACAATATTCAAGTTTTTAAAAACAGGTTCAGCATCATGGGTCATCAGGGAATTTCAAATAGAAATAATAGTGAGCATTAATAATTTCCAAAAGTACACAACATTAACCATCATAAGTATTGGTGAGGAAGAAAACAACAAGGATTAGAATGTTCCCAATACTTTGAAATACTATTTTAACTAAAAAATAGTTTAACATGACTATTACTTACCAAAGACACAGCGACATGTTAACCCTAGACTTGGTGCAAATGGTGGTTTTGTAGGTCTTTCTCAGAATTTTCGTTTCTTTACCAGTTAAATGGACAAATAACTGAAGCACATATGCACAATACATCATTATTGATCTCTCAGGAGAAATGGGCTATCAAGCCTAAAAAGCACATGAAAGAATCTGAAAAGCACACTACCCAAATGATGTAAAATTAATCTGAAGAAATTAAATAATGTGTTTATCCATGGATATACAATTCTGGTAAAGGTAAAACATTGGACATATTGTAATTGTACATGGTTGGTATGATTTATGAGAGATCAATAGTATAGCCTGTGCTAATACCACATTCTATCTGATCCTCCTCAAAATATAACAGGATCTGAATTCTACTTGTACTTAGCAAGGTTGAATATATTCAATGACAGGGGTGGTTCTACACACACACACACACACACACACACACACACACAAACACACACACACACACACACACATAGTATTGTGCTTGACTTAAGTTTCTTATACTCAGTCTGTTCAACGTTCCTTCTCCCTCCCTTCATTGGATATCACTTTAAACAAAAGGATAGTTTTTTTTTTTTTCATCAATATTCCTGAGTCATATTGACATTCATGCCTTGACCTGAAATCTACTTTCAAATGTTTAACTCTATTACCTCTAATTCCTAATTTAGGCTGTATCTTATATTGTACCTCCTTAGTCAAAGTTTCCAGAGACGCAAGTCAATTTTTGCGCGTGTTCTCTTGTCTAACCATGTATTTTTTCTATTTTGATCTTTTGATAACTAACTTCCACCTGAAGTTCTGTGTTCCATTTATGTATGTATTGTCTGTTACAAGATCAATGCCTTGGCTTTAATGATTTCTCATTCATGTATAGGTGAAGCTGGGTCACAATAAGAACACAAAATGACATAGAGTGTCACAATGTTGAACATCAGACTGTCTCTGTGTTTTAAGAGTGACACAACTCTTTCTTCTTAAATTCATTGTAGCACTTGTAACTTCATAATTATCTGACAAATGTAGTAATGTGAGTTATTAGTATTCTTCCAAGTTATACACAGTAATAAAAATTTTAGATTATTTTATATTCATAGATCTGTTTGAAAAAGGATACTAGGCTTTATATAAGTAGTAAAATTTGCATTTGACTATCTTAATCATGTTATATATATATTGATATATATAAGCATATATATGTAGTATATGCCATATGCCATAAATATAGTATTAATTATTGTGTATTTATGATCATAAATGGTGAGGTTTTTAATAGTTACTTTTTGTAAGACACAATTATTCCTTAAGTGGTATCAATATCTCCTTTATTAATATTTCAAACCATGTTTAAAAAAATAAGAAGAAAATTAGATTTACTGTTTTCCTAAATAATGAAAAATTTCTCTTTTCTAAGAAATTCAATTGCTCTGATGCTGTTTCCTGGTTGACTGGTTGACTGATGTGTTACTGTTTCATGTTTAATGTTCCAGGAAGAGCCCTATGTCCTGTTTAAGAAGTCTGACAAACCTCTCTATGGAAATGATCGATTTGAGGGCTATTGTATTGATCTCCTACGAGAGCTATCCACAATCCTTGGCTTCACATATGAAATCAGGCTTGTGGAGGATGGAAAATATGGAGCCCAGGATGATGTTAATGGACAGTGGAATGGAATGGTTCGTGAACTAATTGATCATGTGAGTATCTTTTCCCACTACCTGTCATCTTTGGATGTTTTAAATATTTTTGAGTCATCTAATTCAAAGCATATGTTTTTGTCACTAAAACTAAACAAATTCAAGAAGATACTATATCCCTCTACGAATGATGTGTGTACTAAATTATCTTGAATTAAGAGGTTTAATATTTGCAGATAGCTGGTCTTAGTTATATGATTTCCCAGCAGTGAATTCATTTCCACAGTGCTCACTTCTTAATCATCAGAGAATAAGTAATGCAAACGCTAAATTTCTTATTCTAGGATATGATACTTTGAGATAAGATAATAGCATTTATATTAAAAGAAACATGAAATAAAATAAAGTATAAAAAACAGAACACAGTTTTGAAGGTGAGGGTGTAATGATTTTACTAGACCCAAGATAAATGATAAATGGGTGTTTACTGGGAAACACTTACACAAAACATACAAAGAACCACTGTAGCATTTCCCTGCCCTTCCTACCAGTTTGGCTGACCAAAGAGAAAAGACCCACACAAGGAAGACCACACCTTATGCTTCCCTATTTCTGCTTCCATTCACTTGAAGACATACTCAAAAGGATGTGGCCACCATTACAGGCAAGACCACTATAATTCTCCTTTTAGTCTAAGGAAGGTTTTTAGCGTGATACAAAAATTATATACAATGATAACAAATGTAAAGCATATTCCTGGAAACAGAAAGCTAAATATACAGTAATTAAAACCTACTACCAGTGAGAGCAACATTGAGCAATAAATATATACTACATGTCCAGTGTTACAGTATTAGGGTAAAGTCATGACAGAGCATACTCTGATAGCAGTCCTAATCTGGAAATCTAAATCTTGTCTATCTAAGACATAGGAGGATATGGCTATGAATTTCTAGTCTTAAAGCTCATCTAACACCTGACAAGTTTATCTCTTGCAAGCCGAGTTAGGAAAACATGTACAGGTTCAGCAGTTGAGAGGTGGGGGCAGTTCTTTGCCCAAGAAGCCAGTAGCTGAGGAGAGAATGGACTCCAGATGGAGTGTCAACACTGCCTAGCATATGCTCAGGAATATCTGGGTGCTGCAGGAACAATTGTATCTCATGTCAATGGAGAACTAATATTAAAACATTTAAATGTCATATTCTGCAGGTCTTTGAAGTGTTTGAAAATCAAGTATCTGCCTGAGTAACCTCATAAGTGTAAGAAGTATGGGAAGCTATAATCTGTAATTATCAGAAACATAGTTGCTCAATGACTAAAGCTTCCTAAAATACTTTAGCAAGATAAAATTGAAATGTCTTGACTAGAGGTTGAACTGTAAAGTGCAACTTGGTAAAATATCCTAAGTTGTGTCAATATACGAAATATTCACATAAAATTAGCTTTATTTTTGTGTGCAAAATATTGTAACCAGAAAGAAAACCCTACTCAGTCAACATATAAGAATCTAACAATGCAATAGTTGCTAAAATTAGTTCCCAAGAAGATATGTTAATCCCAAGAAGATATGTTAAGATATCCCAACCTACCCATACCCTTCCCATCCATATCCCTAAACCTATCTAAAAGAGATACCAGAAGCTGACCATCACCTTCCATCCCTGACTCTACACAATTAAAAATCAACCCTAAGCAGGTAACAAGAGAAAAAAAAAATCCAAACCAAATTATCCTACTGCAAACTATGGGGAAAAGGGACCTTGTTTTTCAGAATTACTCTCAGCTGTAATAGGGTGATGCTGACTCCATGGAATCTCTAAGAAAAAACAAAGCAACAGAAAGTGTGGTGAGACTAGCTCTAACATTGGTAGGTAGTATTTGAGTGGCAAGATATCCTTGACTAAAGTTCCTTTCTGAAATCTGGTCAGAATAATATAAGAAGGTACACCATTCCAGATAGCTGGTCTGGAACTGTCTAAAGCAATATTAGTCCCAATCTAGTCTTAGACTAATGTTTAGTAGTTCTAAAAAATCTAGTTGAATCAAGTAGAATCTATGAAGCAGGGCCCTATCTTCTTTCTGGAGAGTTCTGTGATTGCTGTTAGGAATTTTTACTGTTCATTCTGGAAGACTTAAATAGTATTATTAGCACAGAAAAATTTATCTTTTATAAGTAACAATAATGATGAAAACAAGTACGAGCAAAATTAGGATTTTAGAGAGATAACCGAGTTTCTTTCTGTCTTATACCAATTGGCTTTTTAGATATGAGGCAGAAAGTCTGCATTTTATTTTAACAACATTCTTGAATTTACAGAAGTAAATCCAATTACAACTCCAAATCCAGCATTAGTTTTACATGAATTGGAACTACCCAGAGTAGTAGGAAGTAAGGAGGTATAAGATTTAAGGCAGAAAGATTTTATACAGAATAGATATCATAGGCAAATTCTTCTTAGTTTATGGTTCTTTATGGATAGCTATTCTTTCTTCTTTAGGTATTTTAGGCATCTATAAGTCCAGTGTCTTTTGGCTTCTTGAAGGTGGGTGTTTTCTCTTTTTCTGTAAAGACAAGTACATAACAATTCCCCTACTTTGTGAGGTCTCCATAACTCATGGAAATATATATATATATATATATATATATATATATATATATATATATAAATAATTATTTCTGTCATCAAGAGATTTCTCCTGTACAATGGATCTTGATCAAGTTGGATAGTATCCAAAGCTCTTCCTCTTCTGCAGAAACAAAGGTGATACCTCTATCCCAATATAATACATATTCTGCATATATAAAGTACACTTGCTGATTAACTCAGACGATTTTTTCCTATTGTCCAATGTCTTTCTGTGGCTGTTTTTCTTTTCTCATCAGCATTAGAAATGGTTAAGTTTAGTAAAACATTATGTAATCTCTTTTTGGGGATGGTGGTTCCCCCTGCTTGTTTATACTGTGATTTGGTCTCTCAACGATTGGTTGCACTGTATGATTGTGTGGTATACCAATAATATCCTTTATGTTATAATAATTACAAAATTGTTTAATTTCCTAGAGGCATATTGTGTCAGAATTTTGTTTGTTTTTATTTTGTGTAGCTATAGCCATAGTAGCCATTACCTCTAATAAGTGTATAATAACAGAATCATTCTTTTCAGAGCTCAGAGCAGTTGCTCATTTGAAATCATGAAAATGTGTCTACAGCATGGTTCACATATTTTAATTTTTCAAATTCTGCATAATGAAACACATCTATTTTCTAAATTTCATTTTTATGATTAAAATCTGTTGGTAAAGGAATTTTGTTACACAAGGAACAAGTAGAACTTTTTTTAAAAATTATTTCCTTATCTTGATGCCAAATGATGGGAAAAAATCCGTTTTTATACCTTTGCTCTTTACCTGGTGAATTTTATGTTATTGTTGTTTAGTTTTGTTTGGTTTGGAATTTTGACTCCCCCATCATGCTTAATAATAATAATCAATCAATTTCATCATTGCTTTGAAGCAAAAGACCTGGCAGACCTGTATGGGATGGCAGACCTGTATGGGACCCTAAACACACACACACACACATACACACACACACACACACACACACACACATACATACACTTATATGATGAGTCCTATTCCTGATTATATCTAGTAAATGTATAAAGCGTGAAGTTAATTCAGCATCATCAGGAATAAATTCAGCAGTTTCAAAGTATACAACTCTCTCTTGTATATTAGGAGTTGGTAACTGAGTAGGATCCTTTCAAGATCTGTGAATAATTGTTCTGGAATTTAGATTGGGATTAAGTTGATTCTGTAGATGGCTTTTTGTCAAGATTGCCATTTTTACTGTGTTTATCCTACCTATCCAAGAGCATGGGAGATCTTTCCATTTTCTAGTATCTTCTTTAATTTTGTTCTTTAAATACATGAAATTCTTGCTATATAATTCTTTCCCTTGTTTGGTAAGCATTGCCCCAAGATACTTTGGTGTTTTTTTTTTTTTTTTTTTTTTTTTTTTTTTTTATTTAAGGCTATTGTAAAGGATGATGCTCCTCTGATTTCTTTTTCAGCCCCCGTTTCATGTATATGAAACTATATATAGTAGGGCTATTGATTTTGTTTTTGAGTTAATCTTGTATCCTACTAATATGCTGAATCTTTTTATCAGTTGTAAGAGTTCCCTGGTAGTTTTTCTGGTGTTTTATGGAAATATCATCTGCAAATAGTGAAAGTTTGACTTCTTCCTTTCCAATTTGTATCCCCTTGATCTCCATTTGTTGTCTTATTTGATTTAGCTAAAATCAAGTACAAGATTGAAAAGATATGGAGAGAGTGAGCAGCCCTTTCTTGTTCCTGAGATTAGAGGAATCGCCTTAAGCTGCTCTCCATTCAGTTTGATATTGGCTGTTGGTTTACTGTATATCACCTTTATTAAGTTCCTGTTATCCTTGATGTCTTCATCATGTGGAGCTGAGAAGAAATTATATTCTTGTGTGTTTGGATGGAATGTTCTATAGATGTCTGTTATACCCATTTGAGACATAACTTCTGTTATTACTTTTGTTTCTTTGTTTCTGTCTGGTAGTCCTGTCTAGTGGTAAGAGTGGGTTGTTGAAGTCTCCCCACTATGAGTGTGTGAGGTTTTATGTGAGCTTTGAGTTTTAGTTATGTTTCTTTTATAAATTCAGGTACTTTTGTATTTGGGGCATAGATGTTCATAATTGAGACTTTGTGCTGATGGGTTTGTCTTGTGATGAATATGAAGTGATTGTCTTCATCTCTTTTGATTGATTTTGGTTTGAAGTCTAACTTGTTAGATATTAGGATAGCTAAACCTACTTGCTTCCTGGGTCCATTTGATTGGAAGATCATTTCCCAACCCTGTACCCTGAAGTAATGACTGTCTTTGAAGCTTAGTTGTGTTTCTTGTATCTAGCAGAAGGATTGATTCTGTCTTTGTATCCATTCTGTTAGCCTGTGCCTTTTTATAGGTGAGTTAAGACCATTAATGTTGAGGGAAAGGAGCATTTATTGTTAATTCTTGTTGTTTTAG